AGCATTTACGAGGGGGATGTGACAACCCACGATGTTAAAACTTAACAAGCACGCCAATGTTACCAGCGACACGTACACAGCAAATTTATTTGAAACCATGACTGTCAATATCTCTGTTATTTCCATTATCCAAATGAAATGACTTCATTAATACGATTTGTGTTTTCACATATTCCAATTAACATATCACAATAGCATACAATGGATAAACGATGGTTAACTATGACATCACGTATGGAGAAGAGATAATACTCGCTCCCAAAGCAATCGATGGCATAAATTTTACAATAATAAAACAACATACCAGGATATTCTAACGACACATACATTGGCATGTGAAGGTAGATGTCAAGGAAGTTAGGGACGCCAGCAGTATTAACTATAGATATTCATTTTGCATTTGCAGCAAAATACGTATTATTTGGCTATGAATAACTATACTCGATCACGACAAGCTTTTCGTGGGTTAAAGGCAGATGCAGATCTTGATATACTAACCCCGTCAATGAAACTCCTAGTTATTTCATAAATATGAAGTAAAGTGAATAACATGTATGGGATATGTATTTTGTACACCTAGTCGTATTGTTTTCGATTACACTCTGTATAATACAATAATGCTCTATCATATTAACGTATGACTTTTCACGGCTCAGAAAATTCTCAGTGACTAGCAAAACAAATAAAATGTAGCTGCATACGCTTAACTTCTACATGGCGGTATGCTGCTAATGTCAACGTAGCATTCAGTTTACTTTTAAATTTTGAATTTGTTTTTGCTTTATTTAGTAAAAGGTTTTATTCACGAAGAAATCAACACAATTTTTTAACAAATGAAGCATCATTTTGCTTATCAGAAAACCAGCACTAAACTGTGCACAGCACTGGGAAAACTAAATAAAACGCCATACAACAACACATTTCTCGATAACAAGAACAATTTAATCTAACCCATATGCGATACACAACTCGTCAAAGTACCTTGAAGAAATACATAGAAGTACTAAACGTGTTGTTCGACCATGGTCATAATATAATATATTGACATGAGATTACGTGCGTGACAAATTTATAAACAAAAATACCAAACGTTGTAATAATGTTATCGCGATAGCATCTAATGAATACGTAGAGTAACACAATTAGTAATCATAAAACTCAAACTATAATCAAAGAAATTAAAGTAGATTAGAGAAATACGAGACACCCGTTTCAGTGACATTAATTTAATAAAGGGAAACCCCCATTCCTGTGGGTTACCGCACATATATGGTTTATTGTACTAATACTTCCAATTCAGTGAACATGGAGTGCTTTTGTGATGTTTCTTTCCAAACACTTCCACTTCACACAGGTGTAAATAGTTGTTATGATCTTTCAGTTGTACGGCAACATAACGCCCACTTAGCAGACAATCAAGTGTGATCTTCTCTTCATACGTGTTTGCGTTCCAGTCAATTTGATCTCCACATTGGTCATTTTGGTTTATATCAGAATTGTCACCAATTAACACCACTGCTCCATCAATTCTTTCAGCTGAAATATATAAATGTACGTTCTTCAAGGAGTACTGCATATACAAATGTTATTGAACAAGGGTATAATGCATGGGGATGGGTGTGTGGTTGATATAAAGTGATTTTTTTTTAAATTCAGTAATTTTATTTACTTCACAACATGACATATACTGAATTATATGCATTGGAAAATTCAGAATATGCATTTATAACCTGGATAATGTCATGTACACAATTTCAATGAATTTCTGATTGGATCAACTGAACATATTTCATAATTAAGCAAATGTGTATTATGCACACAACAAAAATTAAGAAATATAAATATATTATATATATATTTGTCTGTGATTTACATTGTATACATTTGTATTTTAAACACGGGGCGAAAAATAAGTTCCGAAATAACATTATTTCATTTCTTGTAATATTATGTTTAACTGGTATATACTTACAACAACAATCTTGTCGATTGGTTATTACCACTTGAGATACAGTGTATGATTCTTCCAAATCTAGTTTCCACCAAGCGCCCTGTTCCTTTGCAGTATGGCTACAACTTTTATCACCGTATATGGAATCATCATTTCCATCATTAGCATAGTTAGCTGGTCCATCATAAGCAGTGCTGCTTTGGCTTGCCGTTCCTTTTAGTGCAATATTTTCTATTTAAATGCAACATAGTATGGAATTGGTTAAATCTTATAAGAATGTCACATTTAACCAAACATACATCTTGTCATGTTTGTGCTATTCTTCAAATTACATTTATTTTTCAATAGTTGATTTTTTACCACTTATCATTTGGATGATCGAAAATCTCAACTTTTCTCAATTCTTGAACACATACATCTATCATCTGTGATATTACTTACCCGGTAATGATTGCTTCTCACCAAACACCTCCACTTCACACAGGTGTAGATAGTTGTTATGATCTTTCAGTTGTACGGCAACATAACGTCCGTTTAGGTGACATTGAAATGTGATCTTTTCTCCATACGTGTTTGCATTCCAGTCTATTTGATCTCCACATTGGACATTTTGGCTTATATCAGAATTGTCACCAATTAACACCACTGCTCCATCAATTCTTTCAGCTGAAATATATAAATGTACGTTCTTCAAGGAGTACTGCATATACAAATGTTATTGAACAAGGGTATAATGTATGGGTATGGGTGTGTGCTTGATATAAAGTGATTTTTTTTTTAAATTCAGTAATTTTATTTACTTCACAACATGACATATACTGAATTATATGCATTGGAAAATTCAGAATATGCATTCATAATCTGGATAATGTCATGTACACAATTTCAATGAATTTCTGATTGGATCAACTGAACATATTTCATAATTAAGCAAATGTGTATCATGCACACAACAAAAATTAAGAAATATAAATATATTATATATATATATTTGTCTGTGATTTACATTGTATACATTTGTATTTTAAACACGGGGCGAAAAATAAGTTCCGAAATAACATTATTTCATTTCTTGTAATATTATGTTTAACTGGTATATACTTACAACAACAATCTTGTCGATTGGTTATTACCACTTGAGATACAGTGTATGATTCTTCCAAATCTAGTTTCCACCAAGCGCCCTGTTCCTTTGCAGTATGGCTACAACTTTTATCACCGTATATGGAATCATCATTTCCATCATTAGCATAGTTAGCTGGTCCATCATAAGCAGTGCTGCTTTGGCTTGCCGTTCCTTTTAGTGCAATATTTTCTATTTAAATGCAACATAGTATAGAATTGGTTAAATCTTATAAGAATGTCACATTTAACCAAACATACGTCTTGTCATGTTTGTGCTATTCATCAAATTACATTTATTTTTCAATAGTTGATTTTTTACCACTTATCATTTGGATGATCGAAAATCTCAACTGTTCTCAATTCTTCAACACATACATCTATCATCTGTGATATTACTTACCCGGTAATGATTGCTTCTCACCAAACACCTCCACTTCACACAGGTGTAGATAGTTGTTATGATCTTTCAGTTGTACGGCAACATAACGTCCGTTTAGTTGACATTGAAATGTGATCTTTTCTCCATACGTGTTTGCATTCCAGTCTATTTGATCTCCACATTGGACATTTTGGCTTTTATCAGAATTGTCACCAATTAACACCACTGCTCCATCAATTCTTTCAGCTGAAATATATAAATGTACGTTCTTCAAGGAGTACTACATATACAAATGTTATTGGACAAGGGTATAAGGCATGGTTATGGGTGTGTGCTTGATATAAAGTGATTTTTTTAAATTCAGTAATTTTTTTTACTTCACAACATGACATATACTGAATTATATGCATTGGAAAATTCAGAATATGCATTCATAATCTGGATAATGTCATGTACACAATTTCAATGAATTTCTGATTGGATCAACTGAACATATTTCATAATTAAGCAAATGTGTATCATGCACACAACAAAAATTAAGAAATATAAATATATTATATATATATTTGTCTGTGATTTACATTGTATACATTTGTATTTTAAACACGGGGCGAAAAATAAGTTCCGAAATAACATTATTTCATTTCTTGTAATATTATGTTTAACTGGTATATACTTACAACAACAATCTTGTCGATTGGTTATTACCACTTGAGATACAGTGTATGATTCTTCCAAATCTAGTTTCCACCAAGCGCCCTGTTCCTTTGCAGTATGGCTACAACTTTTATCACCGTATATGGAATCATCATTTCCATCATTACCATAGTTAGCTGGTCCATCATAAGCAGTGCTGCTTTGGCTTGCCGTTCCTTTTAGTGCAATATTTTCTATTTAAATGCAACATAGTATAGAATTGGTTAAATCTTATAAGAATGTCACATTTAACCAAACATACATCTTGTCATGTTTGTGCTATTCTTCATATTACATTTATTTTTCAATAGTTGATTTTTTACCACTTATCATTTGGATGATCGAAAATCTCAACTTTTCTCAATTCTTGAACACATACATCTATCATCTGTGATATTACTTACCCGGTAATGATTGCTTCTCACCAAACACCTCCACTTCACACAGGTGTAGATAGTTGTTATGATCTTTCAGTTGTACGGCAACATAACGTCCGTTTAGTTGACATTGAAATGTGATCTTTTCTCCATACGTGTTTGCATTCCAGTCTATTTGATCTCCACATTGGACATTTTGGCTTATATCAGAATTGTCACCAATTAACACCACTGCTCCATCAATTCTTTCAGCTGAAATATATAAATGTACGTTCTTCAAGGAGTACTGCATATACAAATGTTATTGGACAAGGGTATATGGCATGGTTATGGGTGTGTGCTTGATATAAAGTGATTTTTTTTTTAAATTCAGTAATTTTATTTACTTCACAACATGACATATACTGAATTATATGCATTGGAAAATTCAGAATATGCATTCATAACCTGTATAATGTCATGTACACAATTTCAATGAATTTCTGATTGGATCAACTGAACATATTTCATAATTAAGCAAATGTGTATTATGCACACAACAAAAATTAAAAAATATAAATATATTATATATATATTTGTCTGTGATTTACATTGTATACATTTGTATTTTAAACACGGGGCGAAAAATAAGTTCCGAAATAACATTATTTTATTTTTTGTATTATTATGTTTAAGTGGTATATACTTACAACAACAATCTTGTCGATTGGTTATTTCCACTTGAGATATAGAGTATGTTTCTCCCAAATCTAGTTTCCACCAAGCGCCCCTTTCCTTTGCAGTATGGCTGCAACTTTTATCACCATATATGGAATCATCATTCCCATTAATAGCATAGTTAGCTGGTCCATTATAAGCAGTGCTGCTTTGGCTTGCAGTTCCTTTTAGTGCAATATTTTCTATTTCAGTACAACATAGTATAGAATTGGTTAAATCTTATGACAATTTGGATGATCGAAAATCTGAGCTGTTCTCAATTCTTGAACACATACATCTATCATCTGTGATATTACTTACCCGGTAATGATTTCTTCTCACCAAAAACCTCCACTTCACACAGGTGTAGATAGTTGGTATGATCTTTCAGTTGTACGGCAACATAACGCCCGCTGAGCTGACAATCAAATCTGATCTTCTCTTCATATGTATTTGCGTTCCAGTCTATTTGATCTCCGCATTGATCATTTTGGCTTATATCAGAACTGCCACCAATTGACACCACAGCACCGTCAATTCTTTCAGCTGAAATAACGAATATGCATTTTTTAGAAGTATTGCGTGTATTGAGGGATATTGAATCATAGAAGGCACTGATGATGCATGAAATAAATCCAATAAACTATAATGTAATGAACAACTCAAAGTCTGCGTTATTTAGACATGATATCATGATCACCATTTTATAAAAAAGCAATCTCATTGATGAACACATTGCCCTAATTCAAGAATTATGGCATATAATATGTTTCATTTTATTATTCAAATTGTTAATTTCAAACAACATAAAAAGAATGAAATAATATGAGACAATATTACTGCGTTCCGTGTATTATTGTTTAACTGGTGTATACTTACAACAACAGTCCTGTCGATTTGTTAATACCACTTGAGATATAGAGTATGTTTCTCCCAAATCTAGTTTCCACCAAGCGCCCTGTTCCTTTGCAGTATGGCTGCAACTTTTATCACCATATATGGAATCATCATTCCCATCAATAGCATAGTTAGCTGGTCCATTATAAGCAGTGCTGCTTTGGCTTGCAGTTCCTTTTAGTGCAATATTTTCTATTTAAGTACAACATAGTATAGAATTGGTTAAATCTTATAAGAATGTCACATTTAACCAAACATACATCTTGTCATGTTTGTGCTATTCTTCATATTACATTTATTTTTCAATAGTTGATTTTTTACCACTTATCATTTGGATGATCGAAAATCTCAACTTTTCTCAATTCTTCAACACATACATCTATCATCTTTGATATTACTTACCCGGTAATGATTGCTTCTCACCAAACACCTCCACTTCACACAGGTGTAGATAGTTGTTATGATCTTTCAGTTGTACGGCAACATAACGCCCACTGAGCTGACAATCAAATCTGATCTTCTCTTCATATGTATTTGCGTTCCAGTCTATTTGATCTCCGCATTGATCATTTTGGCTTATATCAGAACTGCCACCAATTAACACCACAGCACCGTCAATTCTTTCAGCTGAAACATCGAATATGCATTTTTCAGAAATATTGCATGCATTGAGGGATATTGAATCAATAATTTCAATAAACTATAATGAAATGAACAACTCAAAGTCTGCGTTATTTAGACATGGTATCATGATCACCATTTTATATAAAAGCTACACATTGATGAACACATTGCCCTAATTCAAGAAATATGGCATATAATATGTTTCATTTTATTATTCAAATTGTTTATTTCAAACAACATAAAAAGAATGAAATAATATGAGATAATATTATTGCGTTCCGTGTATTATTGTTTAACTGGTGTATACTTACAACAACAGTCCTGTCGATTTGTTAATACCACTTGAGATATAGAGTATGTATCTCCCAAATCTAGTTTCCACCAAGCGCCCCCTTCCTTTGCAGTATGGCTGCAACTTTTATCACCATATATGGAACCATCATTTCCATCAATAGCATAGTTAGCTGGTCCATTATAAGCAGTGCTGCTTTGACTTGCAGTTCCTTTTAGTGCAATATTTTCTAGAAAATATATATATAAGCATTATATGTTCGATTATTTGTTACTCACTACTTTTTATGTAAATTAAGTAGAAAATAGATTTTTCGATATGAGCAAGTCTAATAACATTGCCACCAAATTAGAAACGAGTTTAGAAAATGTACTGTTAACAGGTCAACTCCTGGTACCGGTGAGACAAGCTGTATGGGTAATTTTATCGAGCGCAGAGTCTGATAAAAAGGGATTCTCGCTGCTGCTTGCAATACAATACGTTGTTTCTGGTCCTCTGTGAATGTCTTCTTTACCATATATTCAATTCCATTAGTATTTGTAAAGTGAGCAGTAGCGTGGGACCAGTAAAGGACCATTGGGAGCAGAAAGATGTGCTCAAGGTACAAGCGTTGACTGACTATTGTCATTGGTGGAATGCTTCACACTAAGTCATTGAATGTGTTCTGAGAATCGCAGAACGGTAACTATATTGCGTGTACTAATTGTAACATTGAATAAGCTAATACTCAATATGGTAATTACAGTAAAAAATGTAGGAATTTGAATTGATTCATTATTAAATAGTATAATAATGTAAACATTTCTGAATGTTCGTGTTGAAGTTACCGCCTACTGTGAATTCTATATAACACAATTTGAGTAATTTTGAATGATCAGAACTATAATTAACAATGTGATTGACTTTGCAGTAATCCAAAGTCACCTAAAATTTGGCA